GGGGAGGGCGGGGGGCGCAGTGGGGAGGAAGAACACCTGGCAGGCAGAGACTTTTTGATGCTTCAGAATTTGTCCGTGTTATCTAAGCAGTGTGCCCTAGTACTGGCTTGAACTTGAACCAAGTTTACTGAAGAACCCAACACTAGCCCTGCTCTGAATCTGGTGTGCCCAACCACACTGCACTGAACAGCACTGGGCAAGATGGCGGGGAGGGAGGGAGGCAGAGGCAGGGGAGGGCTGGAGGCAGGGGTAAACTGAATAAGAGAATTCTCCTCTCTCTATCCTTTTACTCCAACTGACCCATCAGAATGGCAGCAAAGAAAAAGCTCCCTGTTGTTCTGTTGATCCCAAGAGGCCTCACCACAGAGTCTTTGCATATGCTCTTCCTCCACCTGGAATACTCTTCCCTCTTTTCTTCACTTTGTTAATTCCTACTCATCGTTTAGATCACAGCATAATTTCATTTCCTCCTCGTCCCTGACTAGTTCAAATCCCTACTATATGCCCTCACCACTGGACACTACTCTTCATAGCACTTATAATAGTGGCAATCTTACATTTATTTTTGTGATTATTTGGTTAATATTTGTCTACCTCGACACACTGTAAAGTCCTTGAGGGCAAGGGCCATGTCTGTTCCATTTTCCCTAAACCTAGTATACTGCCTGGCTTACAGTAGGTGCTTAGTAACTATCTGTTGAATGGATAAGGGAAGGAAGTTGCTGGACTGGGCCCCTGATATTTATTTCATCTTGGGCACTTTCAGCCGAATCAAAAATGTCTGTCCCATCCTCCTCAAGTTAACTGAACAATATAGCTCCTGAAGCCTTTTTCTCCATCTCCCCAAGAACTACCACATGTATTCCAGGTCATCAAGCCTCTCATTTGATGAAAAGGTACTTGCGGCAAGGATAAGGTGCTCAAGCCAGAGGGTACATCAGAGGCAATTGGTGGGTTTCCAGATTTATCAGTGAATTCTGCTCCAGGGCCAGTGTGTGGCCTGGGCTGGGGATGGGTAAAAGGAAAACAAACTGCCTAGTACTTCTTATTGTCTTTCAGGTCCCAGCTCAAATGTTACCTCCCCCAAGAAGCCTTCCCTGATCCCCCTCTATTTTTGTGAATTAAACTTACATCACCCTCTTCTAAGAACTTACTATGATTTGTAATTAGACATTTTAAGAGAGACTAGCTGTTAATTATCTGTCTCCTCTGCTGGCCAGGAAGCCCATGAGTTCAAAGATGAGTCTGCTTGTTTACTCTTACAGCCCAGTGACTAGCGTGGGGCCTGGCTCATGGTAGATGCTCAATAAATATCTGTTGAATGAATGAATGAGTTCATGAATGATTTAATGGATAACATATGGAAGTCTAGCAAGGCAAGCAGGGGAAGAGGGGAAAGCTGGGGTCAGGGCAGTCAAGCCTTCTTGTCTTCTGCCTTCTAGGGGCTTTCTAGGAAGTGTTTTGAGATCCTGATACCAGTGATAAGACTGTGCATGCCCAGGAACCGGAGTCTCCACTGTGTACCCAGGACTGCTGCATTCTTGAGGCATTAAGGGCTTGGTTGTTAGAGGTGAGGCGGTACAGAAGATGCTCAGAAGCTCAGTGTCTGCAGCACCTGGGGAAATGTGGGCAGCAAGTGCCCGACCAGCCAGTGAGGAGGCAGGAGAAGGCTGCCCAAGCCCCTGCCCTTCCTCTCTCTCCCTGGGCTCCTGGGACTCCTCCAGACTCCTGACTTTTAACTGGGAGTCCTGGCCTGGAGCCCATCCCACACCCCTCAAACCAACTGAAGGTCTTTCTGGCTGAAGTTTCCCTCCCCCCACCCACAGGGAGTTCCTGTCTCAGCAGGAATTCATACCAGATTGAAATGAGCAGCTGGAGCAGCCTGGAATGGAGGGTGTATGGCAGCGATCAAACGCCCAGTGTGTAAGGGGCAGGGGGTGGGAGAGAGCATGGCGGCGCATGTGTATGCTGGATGGCCCACAAGCACAAAGAAATGAGAGACAGAGATGGGGACACAGAGTAAAAGACAGGGAGACAGAGAAAGAGACAGAATCAGAGAAAGAGATTCAGAGGCAGAAAAAGATAGGCATAGAGAGATATACAGAGAAAGATAGAGGCACAGACAAAGAAAGAAACAGAGAAGTTGAGAATAGAGAGAAAAGCAGAAATGGCAAGAGATGAAGAAATGAAGAGACTGGAAGACAGGACACTGGGAAAAGATGGAAGAAAGAGAGACAGAAGAGGTCAAAGATGGAGATAGGCAGAGAGAAAAAAAAGGAGAAAAGAGACTGAGACTAAGGAATAGTCACATTTATTCACTCATTCCATTTATTGAGCACCTGAGCCACCCAGGCACAGTGCATGGCACAGATCAATGCAAGTAGACACAAATGGTAGGGACCCAGGTGCAGCAATAAAGACAGAAGCTGAGATAGAGACCAAGAGAGGAAGAGACAGAGATGCAGATGAGACTGAGGAAGGAAGTGCAGGAAGGATACAGAGATAAGAGAGTGGCAGAGACAAAAGGCCTGCAGGCAGGGAGGGCAGGACAAGTAGGGGCTGAAGGGCAGCCTGGAAGAGAAGCAGGACCAGGGAGACCTGGCGTTGCCTCCCAAGGGCAGCTCTCCCTCCTCAGGGCCACCAGGAGCTTTGCTGTGTCCACAGCTGCTTGACCTCCCTCCTGTCTGCCTACCCGCTTCCTTTCAGGCTCTAGAGGAGGCTGGCTGCTGACAGCTCCCTCCTGCTCCTCCTCCTGTCTGAGTTTCTCTGCCTGAACCCCAGGTCAGGATGGAGTCCAGCCCAGCCCAGAGGAGGGGGGAATGGGCAGTCAGTCAATGGATATAAAAGAACCTCTTCTCCACCAAGAGGCCAGCTTAAGACAATCCTTTCATCCCAACAAGCCCCCAGGAGATATGAAAAGGTGCGTGTAGGGGGAGGAGGGGTGAGTATGTGAATTGAGCTTCCAAAATAGCGTAGGTGCCTCTTCCTTCTGGGGTCTGTGTACCAGCCCCAAATACACCAAAACCTCCCTGAAATCTTGAACTGAGAGAAAAAGCCATTTGTAGCAAATGCTGAGCCCTCCTCCCATCTCCTCCCACATCATCACTGAGAAAATGCCGCAGAGAAGAGGGTGGGCTGGAAAGTCAGTCACCTACCCGCTGGTGCCAGGTCTCTGGGCCTGAGAGAAACGCCAATCCGTGTTGGGTGGGGCTTGCTGTGGAGAAAACAGAAGGAAAGGGGCTGAGTACCCATGAGGAATCAGAATGTCGCCCGGAGTCCCTTGGGATGGGCTGGGAGGGAACGAGCGAGGGGGCACAGAGAAGCTGCAGGAGGAGGAAGAAAATGGGATGGGGGAAGGGTAGACGCATCCCTAAAGACGAAATACACCCCAGGTCTCAGAGGCCTGCGGTAAGGGGGACAAAGGATAAAATAGCATTTCATCTGACCACAGTTAGCAAGCCCGGATTAATGGTCCCTTCCTCCCTGCCCTTAGAATCAGAACATCTGAGCAGAGATTCAAGGGCTGAAAAGTAACTTCTGTGGGACTGGGGGAGAGGTGCAGAGAAGGCCCCCAAAAGTGACAGCAGAGGCTTTTAAATGAGAATCTGGCCAGCCCTAGAATGAATTTATTCAGCTCCTCAGCTGGAAACAAATCATCCTCTGCAGCAAGATGGCTGCTGCTCCGGGTAACCCTTTTGGTGCCAGGTTGTGCAGTAACATATTCAGAGGGACACCCCCTTCAGGCCCTTGACCCTCAAGGATCCCTTCCCACAGCTAAATAGATTATTAATTTAGGAGTCATGCCAGACTGGGTCTTTGCAGGGCATCCAAGCCCCAGGACACCTCTCACCCCCAGAACTCCTTGCCACACAATGGCCTTTGACTGAGGAGGAGAGAACAAGGCTGCTCTTTCTGGGACATAGAAAACTGTTGGGATGGAGCCCAACAGGGATCAAGCTCCCACAGCCTCCAAGCAGAGCCAACTCAGTCTCCAGGGCTCCCATGGGGCTAATCTGGAGCCATGTCCCATGTGGCTGAAGGTGTGGGGCTCTGCAGCCAGCCACTTCACTGCCAAGTCCCTTTGTCTTTCCAGAGACAGTGTTCTCCCATCACACCCTCTCATAGAGCATCCCTAGAGTCATCTCCTCACTGGTTCTGAAGTGTGCTGGTAATTAACTCTCACACTCACTCCCAGAAGCCGAGGGAAGTGTGAGCCTCTCCTTTTACACTGGGGAGAAGGAAGACTCAGGGCTGTCAAATGACTCACCCTAAGGCTCACAGGTGGCAGCGGTGGGAGCAGAACTCAGAAATCCAGCAACCTAGGTGCAGCAGGAGTCACTGCCACCACTCAGGGGCTGCTGTGGGATGACCAGCCTTCAGCCACTGGATTCTTAGACACAGCCAAATCTACACGGAGATGCAGTGATCATGATAGATTGGAGGAGAGGAGCTGGGCAAAACTCACAATCTCTGTAAGGACATGGGTCCAAATTAATTGAGTGAGGGCTGCTCTGAGAAGAGGAGCCCCAGAAGGCCTTTCTCCACATGTATAGCCCTAAATGAGAAAGAATCACCCTTGCCCCATGCAAGCAGACACAAACCCATCCCTCCTGTCCTCCAGTTTTACAAGTTCCAAGGGCCCAGCGATTGAGTGCGCACATTCTGGAGTTAGGCAGACCTGGGTTAGACTCTTTCTCAATCACTTACTCTGTAAACTTGAGCAACTCGCTTGACCTCTCTGAAAGATGGGGATGCTCAGACCTATCCAAAAACATCGTTGGGGATAGCAAATGAGATGCTGTGGTTCTCAAAAGAGATGTGTAGTAAGACTCTCAATCAGCTATCTAAATCACCTGGGAGTGCTTTTTTAAAAATATAATTCTGATTCAATAGAGCCAGGGTAGGGCATTGATAGGAGTAAAAGCTCTCAGGAATGTGAAAACTTGTGCTTTTTTCTATTATAGTTTCCCCACATATGAGGGCACTCTGGCATCTGGCAGAGGCTGTGGCTCTCCATCCACCAGAGGAGGAAGGGCTTGCTGGAGTCTCGGATACTTTGGTTACCCCCAAAACCCTAACCTTAGATCGCTTGGTACACTGTGATCACGACGGAGCCAAAAGCCTATCTCTGAGCGTCCAGAGCCCGGGTGCCCCAGGCTCCCACTTCCCGCGGGAGAAAGCGGGCTGCTGGTGCCATTAGGGTCCCAGTGCTTCCTGCCCTATGTAGAGGCCTGCCCCCTTGTCCCAGGTCAGGCCCTGGTGCCCTGCTAGCCGCAGGGTAGCACAGCTCGCGCGAGGCTTCTAGTCTGGAGAAGCAGCCACTCTCCCTCCAGGAGCCCCAGGTCCAGCGGGGTCGACGGGCCCGTGGGTCATAGAGTCCCGCCAGTCCCGCGCCTAGAGTGCCCAAAGTCGTTCCCGCGCTCCAGGCGCCGCAGGCCCCCCCTGAGCCGACTGGGTCCAGCTGGGGGCGGGGGGGTGGTGGGGCCGGAAGTCCCGAGTCCTCCTCAGGACTTGGGCGGCCGCGACCTGGGGTCATCACGGTGGTGAGTACCCGAGGTGGGCAGCGCGGTGGGACCGGGAGCCCGTGTGAAGCTGGCAGTGAAAGCTCGTGTGCGTGTAAGCAAGTGCGAGGGGTGTGTGACTGGGTTATGTGTGCGAGGCGTGTAATTGAGGTGTGCGAGCCAGTGCGCCGGGTGTGGCCCGTGGTTGTGGTCTGCAGGGAGGACACGCGTGAGCCTTTGCGGGCGCCACCTATGTCCTGGGTACAGATGGGAGAGAGCTGATGGGGGGAGAGCTGAGGATAACAGTGAAGTCACAATTCACTGTGGGAACTGTGGGAGTGAGGAGAAACGTAGAGACCAGCAGAGCGCGCCGGCGCCTAGGAGGCTGAATCGCAGATCGGTGACTGCCTCCCACCCCCAACTCCGGCACCCCGCGGAAATCGCCAGAAATTCACTGCAAGCTCTGGTTGGGTAGCGACCAGTTCAGCCGCGACCTTTTGAGTGTGGGGGCGAGGTCGGCCCCTCTTCCCCTCCCGCACAATCACCACCACCTTGGGGCGCCCACAGCCACATCCCCGCCTCCGCCACTCCTCTGGTTTCGCGCAAATAGTCCGGATGACCCCACGAGTCGGGTGGAGCGCAGCCAGGGCCAGGCCTGCCGGAGAGGAGTGGATGCAAGTTCAAAGTCCCTTATGTGGGCGGGCCGCTTCTCCAACGCCGCCCCCAAGGGTCGCCCCGGGTGGCGCTGAGCCCCTCACCTGGCTCCGCTCCAGCAGAGTATTAGAGCGGGACCGGAAGGCGTCAGGCTCCAGCGCCAGAGCCGAGGGCTGTTGGACGCTGACGGGCCTTAGAAAGGTGAAGTCACTGCCGTCCGACGCTGGCGAAAAGCACGTCCTGTAGCAATGGCTCTGCGAGTCTGTGGGCCGCAGCGTCACCTCCATGTACTTGAGCGTGCCATCTGAGCTCACCTGCAGGTTGGGGCTGGACTGCTTATAGAAGTCCCGGGAGGGCGATTCCTGGCGCCTGCAGCACTGCCCCTCACCCCTGTCCCCATCTGCGTGCCCGCGAAGGCACTTGGCTGACAGAAAAGTGAAGGTGACTAAGGATAAGAGACTGATGGCTGCTAGGGCCACAATGAGGTAAAGGGTAAGGTCTGAACGCTCAGGCGGGTGTGTGAGGAGGTCACTGGATTTGGGCATTTCCTCAGGGTCCTCATCCTCCAGAGCCAGCAGCACTGTGGCTGTAGAGGAAAGTGAAGGGTCACCATTGTCCCTCACCAGGACCACCACCCGCTGGGTGTCAGAGTCATCCTCCAGTAAGGCCCGGGCTGTGCGCACTTCACCAGTGTGTGTAGACACGAGGAACAGTCCTGGGGCTGTGGACTGTGGCAACAGTGAATAGGAGAGCCATGCATTGTGGCCTGCATCAGCATCCACAGCTGTCACCTTGGTGACCAAGGAGCCAGGAGGGGCAGAGCGAGGGAGACGCTGGGGGGCTGAGAGTTCCAGACCAGGCCGGGGGTGCAGCACAGCTGGGGCATTATCATTCTGGTCCAGAACAAACACATGCAGAGATGTATTGGCATGCAGTGGGGGAGAGCCAGAGTCTCGAACCCCCACCACAATCTGTAGCATCTGCAGCAGTTCGTAGTCAAAGGTACGCTGGGCAAAGACCCGCCCATCCTCAGGGTTGACATACACAAAGGAGGAGGCCGGGGCTCCCTGAATCTGACTCCCTATGATGGAGTAGGTGAGACGGGCATTATCCCCAGTGTCTGGGTCCAAGGCGGCCACAGTGCAGAGGAAGGAGCCTGCGGGCTGGTTTTCTGGGATGTAAGCAGTATAGAGCTGCTGGATGAAGTGAGGTGCATTGTCATTAACATCTGAAATGTTGAGCCTGATGGTAAGATGTGTGTGCAGGGGAGGTGAGCCAGCATCACTGGCCTGCAGCTCGATGATATAGTGTGATGTGGCCTCTCGATCCAAGGGCTGGCTGGTTAGCAGTGAATAGTGGTTCTCAGAAGGCTTAATCTGAAATGGCAGGTCCGGAGAGATATCAAGGCTCACGTCACCATTTCTACCTGAGTCTCGGTCCCTCACATTAAACAACCCCACTACTGTGCCCACTGATGTGCTCTCCAGGACAGGGTTGACCAAGGAGGCCAGTAACACCTCTGGGGCATTGTCATTGGCATCCCCCACATCCACTTGAATCACACAGTGACCCTCCATGGCTGGCCATCCCTGGTCACGAGCTCTTGCATGAATTTCATAGAAACTTGATTCTTCAAAGTCTATCAGACCCAACACATGGATTGCTCCACTGCTAGGGTCTAGGCCAAAGAGATTTCGCACTGCTTCTGATGTGTGATCCCCAAAAGAATAGTCTAGTTGGCCATTGGTGCCCTCATCTGGATCAGTAGCATTAAGGCAGAGCAGCAGTGTACCTATGGGTGCATTCTCCGGGAGTCCCACACGCAGAACTGAGGAGAGGAAGGTTGGAGCATTGTCATTGATGTCCAGCACGGTGACAGAGATAAGGGTGGTTCCTGAGTGAGCTGGGGTGCCCCCATCCACAGCAGTGAGCACCAGCTGATGTCTTGCCTGGGTTTCACGGTCCAGCTGCTGCTCTAGCACCAGCTCTGGGAACAGTTTCCCATCTTTTAGGGTTTTCACATTCAGAGAGAAGTGGCTGCTGGGGCTTAGAGTGTAGA